TTCGCCTTTGTCCGGTGGCACGTCGGGATCATCGGCAACCTCGACAACCTCGATAGCCTCGACGAGTCCTCGACGCCTTCGTTCGAGCTCGGCACCCGGCAACCGACGTGTCACCCGGGCAGGATCCGCCATGATCCTCGGTGCATCAGGGGGTGATGGCTCAGGGGGCAACAGTTCAGGGGGTCACAGGTCCGAGGTGACCGAATTCGAGGGGGGCGGCGCTGAACTGATTTAATCATGATTGAGTCACTCACCGTGTTGACGTTCAACGTCCGATCGATGAAGAACGCAGTCAACCAAGTCAAAATCATCCGTTATCTCAAAACCCTTCGGCCGGCCCCTGCGGCCATCCTCCTGCAAGAGCACCACCTCAGCTACAACGCGTCGCGCGAAGGCTTCGAGAGTGCTTGGCCGGGGGCTTGTATTCGTTTCACTCCTCATGTCCTTACCCTCATACCCGATGGCTCACCTTTGGCGGGCCATCTCCTTTCCTCTACCCCGGTCGTCTTTGCAGGAGCTCCTCGTTTCGACGGTCGGATTCTGCGCTCGGTGTTTCGTCTTGAGGAGCTCGATGTCGAGATCATCAACATGTACGCGCCGGTGCAGGAGGACGATCGTCGCGACTTTTTCGGGCTTCTGCACTTCAACGCCCCGAGACCCAAGACTCTTCGGATCTTGGCCGGCGATCTCAACGATTGTCCGGATGTATCGGTCGACCGAGTGTCCATCACCGATCGCGCTTGGACTCCTGTATCGCACTGGCAGACCTTGCTGTCAAAGATCGCGTTCAAGGCACTCGACACGGTCCGACATGTCCATCCTTGCACCCCTGCATTCACTCGTCCTCACTACCGTGGTAGAGGGAAGAGCGAAAGATTTGCTCGTGGTCGCGGATCGACTATATTCTTGTCCAATGCAGTTGGGCGAACCGGTTGTTGAGCGCTTCTACGCTCTTCGATGCGCCCTGTTCGGACCACAGACCTGTAGTTGCGACTTTCGCTTTGCCTACATCGAACGCTGATGCCGAACCCCCCCTTTCTCTTCCCTCCACGAGCGATTTCATTTCGAGGCTCAACCCAATGGTCTTTGACGATCAAGACTTTGTCGCATCGATTCCCGGGGTCGTCGACGAGGTCTATCGAAGGCTCGAGGGGACCGCTCCGCTCGGCGACGTCTATGACGCCGCTCTGCGGGCGGTTGCAGTCGCTGGCCATGCACGATACCGCTCGACTCGTGCCGACATGCGCCGACTGCGGGCCGAGAGCCAATCCGTCATGGAGGCTTTGGAGGCACGCGGTGAGCACATGAATGAGGCCGAGCGCGATGTGTATGCTCTTGCCAAGTCGCGGTTGGACCAGTTGGCGGTAAAGGAGGCTCAGTGGCTGCGCATTCGTGCGCATGTGCCGTCAGTCGACTCGAGGGAAGGTCAATCGGCAAGCATTCGCACGCGCCTCAACCGCCGGAGTCGCCAGACGAGCATCGTCTCGCTGGAGGATGTGGATGGCACCGAGACCGTTGACATGCAGGAGGCGCTGGGTATTGCTTCACGGCACGCGCAGTCGCTCTTCACGCCGGACCCAGCTCGTGGCGACCCGACGAACGCACGCCGGTCCCTGCTCGACCCTATTCGCGCAGCGAAATGCTACGATGACGACCGCTCGGACCCTACGTTCGGTCGTCGGCTGCCTCGTCAAGCGAGAGTGGCGCTTGACGAGCCCTTCACCCTCCTCGAGGTTGAAGCGGCGTTGAAGAAGACGGATTCGGGGCGATCACCGGGGCCCTCGGGCATTCCGTACGAGCTCTTCAAGGCGCTGCCAACCTACTTTGCTCCCAAGCTGTTGGACTTGTTCAACTCGATTTGGGAGGGCGGCAAAATGACGGCGTCCTTGGCAGAGGGGCTGGTGCGGCTCTTGCCCAAGAATAAACCGGGGGCCAATCTGAAATCACTGGGGGCATACCGACCGATCACATTGCGCGAGACGACCTACAAGGTCCTCAGCAAGGTCTTGGTGGCGCGACTCAATGGGGTGCTCGGCGAGCTTTTACCGCCGGCGCAACACGGTTTCATGCCATCAAGACGTTCAGCGGACGCGGGAAGTCATCTCACTCTCCTTCTCGAAAAACTCAAGTCGCTAGGCACTGATGTTTTCCCCGAGGGCGCCCTCTTGTCTTTGGATCAGCAGAGCGCGTACGATCGGGTCGATCACGCCTGGATCTTCGAGGTCTTTGAGGCCTTTGGGTTCGGTGAGCGTTTCATCTCGCTGCTGCGCGCTCTCTACGATCCCGAGACTCTGGGGGTGCGCTACCTTGTCAATGGGTTCCCCACGGACTTGGTGCGGTTGCTGTGTGGTCTCGGTCAGGGGGATCCCCTCTCGTGCCCGGTTTGGAACATCACGTTCCAGCCCTTCCTCGACGCCCTCGTTCGGCGCGGGATCGCGCTCGACCTGCAGAAGGTGTGGCCAGGGGGGCCGCGTGCGCAGCTTACGCATCTGGCGTTTGCCGACGATGCTGTGGTGGTGGTGGAGTCACCGGCGGCATTGTCGAAGCTGCAAACGCTGTCGCAGACGTGGTACGAGGCTACCAACGGGAAGACCAACACGGACAAGACGCTGGTGCTACCACTCGGACCGAACTGGCTTCGGGACGAGACTGCGCAGGCGCTGCCAACGGTGCAGGAGGGGGAGAGCTTCAAGTGGTGCGGCTATGCCTTCTTTCGCCACGGTGACTCGAAACTGTTTTGGACCCATGTTCTTGACAGGATCAAGGCCAAGGCCCGCGCCGCTCGAGACCGGACACTTTCGCCGAGTGGGAAGGTTTTCTATGCCAACGCTCACATCATCTCGACGGTCCTCCACGTGCTGTCCTTCGACATACCGCCTCAATGGTTCATTAAGGCGGCGGAGACGGCACTTACGGACTTTGTCTGGGGAGGAGCAGGGCGAAATACCGTCGCTCGCGATTTCGTGTTCCAGGCTCGGGAGGACGGTGGCTTGGGTTTGATTTCGATTGGCGACATCGTTCATTCGGTGGCGCTTCGATTTTGGGATGCTGTGGCGGGCTCGGACGAGGCGATCTGGGCGCCCCTAGCTCGCGAGAGCTGGAGGTGCCTCGTCGCTGCGACCCGCGATTTCAGTCCGTGGGGGTTCTTCAGCAGCACGGCTCGGGTCGAGAAGCTGTATCGCGACTCGACGCGCTGGGGGGCAGTCGTTGCAGCGGCCAGGGTCACAGTTCCAACCATCAAGTCCGAACTCCTTACGCTTCCCGAATTGCTCTCGCTTCCGCCTCGCCTCCCTTCACTCTATGCTGAAGGTGCCCAGCACGCATATGACGATGCGGACGCGGTGGCGAAGTTTGCGCAGATCGCGGACCTGTACTGGAGGGACGAAGGGAAGGGATGGGCTCTGGTTGGTCATCGACGCGGGTTCTGGCAGCACTCTAAGGAACCCGCCCTACAGCACGAGCACGTGTGGTCGCGCGTGGGTCAGTTGCTCAAGGCGAAAGCGTTGCTGCCCAAGACCGCGTTGCGACCTGCTCGGATACCTCTCAAGGAGGCTCCCCGTCCTCGGTGCTTCAACTTCTTTGGGCTCTCCCGACCTTTTACGATTCGCAAGCTTCGTCGGCTTGTGAACAAGGTGCGGTTCCCAGGGAGGGAGGACCGTGTCAAGCGTTTCCCTGATGGGACTTCTCAGAGCGATAGGAAGCGCTTCTGGAGATGGCTTCATGACCGGTTCGCGTCTGCTGTCGAGCAGGACACCCACTGGCGGCTCATGTACGACGTGACGCCGACGCGCAAGAGGCAGCATACTCAGGGTCATGCCTCTTCGCCGACGTGTCTGTTCTGCGGCAACGATGCAGCGGTCATCGAGACGGTGTCCCACTACTTTTTCGAGTGCGCGTACTCGACCAGCTTCTGGGGTGGGTGCTACGCATTCTGCTTGACAAGCTCGGCATCGAGGATACCGACGTCGATCCGTCGACGTTCACTCCGGAGCAGCTGACTATGGGGCTCCCCCTTTTGCGGGGTCGTGGGAGAACGACCTCGAAATGGATGTGGGTTCGGCTGGCCTGCGCGATCGGCTTCCAGCGGCTGCACCTGCTCCGCTGGCGCGTTCATCAGCGGTTCGAGCTGGACAACGTCGTGGCCCCTCCCTCGCTTCCCAGTGCGCTCAGAGCGTTCGAGCGAGATTTTCTCTCTCGAGCGGGTTTTGTGCCTGGGGTTCGAGATTGGGAGGTGTGATGACCGAGTTAAGTCCTTCCTTCCCATTTTCCTCCCCTCCTTTCCCCCCTTCCTTTTCGGTCAGAAGCTGACTGTCTTGAAACTTGTTGCGCAGTGGAAGGCTGCGCACCTCTCCCTCTCTCTACTTTGCGCAGTAGCGATTTTCGTTCTTGGATGGATCGGCAAGCCGGGTCGATCGTCGTTGCGTTGGAGGCTTTGTGAAGTTCTCCCCTCTCTTTCCCCTTTCTCCTTCCCTTCCTCTTCTCGTTCCTGTTGCTCGGTTGTTGACTACGCTTCAGCCACTTCTCCTTTTATTCCTAAGCCGTGTGTTGGATTCCGTCGAATGATCGTTCGTTCGCGTTGGTCAAGATCTACGGCATGGATCGGGAAGAAAGGTCGCTCGTTTTTTTGGTCAATATCCTCGCGTCAAGGCGAGGCTTGTTTCGTTGTATTGGATCGTTTTCGCTCGGCCCCGACGGCTCAACAGCCAGCACTCGAGACTCAGCCAAGGGAGGACATCAGGCGCTGTCGGGGTGACGAGTAGCTGGGGCTTGGCTGCGGCCTGTCAGTCCCTGGGGACCTCTAGCTCTGGCTTCGACCCCCTCCCTTGGCCCCTCGGGTGTGTTCCCCTCCTCCTCCCCTCCTCTCTGTCTTAGTATTCCTGGTTCTCCGTGTTTCCAGTCGTGAATTTTTGTATATTCTCCCCTTTTCTTTCTCTAGGCGCTCTTGCCTGGTTTTCGAGTATCTTCGCTCCCGCTCTTGGGACGTGAAGCGGCAGCAGTACTCACCGCCCGTTGGAGTCCGCGTTAGGTGCTCGGCGGGTTTTGATCTGCGCAGCGCTCTTTGCGCGCAGGGGTTTGACTTTCACCCAATTGCTTGCCGTCGTTGCTTTATAACCTCTTTTAGCTCTTTTTGTAGCGGTCCCAGCCAACCCGAAGGATTGCAATTTATGAGCCCCAGTAATAAAAAAAAAAAAAAAGCTTTCGACACCAGCCAGTGTCGGGAGGAGCAAGAGGCAGGCGAGGGCAGTAGAGGCTAGGTTCGATTTCCCCCACCCCACTCCACACTCACACATCCTCTTACAAAAACTGTATACTAAATATCTTTTCTTCATCTTTCTTTTATTACAGGTCTGCCTCCGTTGCTCATGGACCGGCTTGCGTTTTGGGATTGACTCGACGGTGGCTCGCGCTCTTTGGCTTCGGGGTTCTGAGTCAAGGGAGGGATCAGCAGACACAGGCAGAAAGTCGGCTTTGAGGGGCCAGGGACTGCTGAGGTGGAGGTTTTGAGGGCCTCCACCGCGTCTTGTTGTGACCGAGCATAGACTTGGGACTTCGCGGGTCAGGGTAGCTGCGCAGTCGCTCTCTGTCTTTGTCTCGACCGAGTTGGGTGGGTGCGGGGTGGGCCTCTTGTCGTTAGTACGCCAGTTCTTTTTCATTTTCTCTCTTTCTCTTCTCTCTCTCATTCGTCTCCTGGGGGAGCAACCGCTTGGCTGGGGCACTTGAATCCGAAGTATCGGATTGGTGGACTTGGCCCGTTTCTCGCATCTTGCGGGCGGTTTGTGTTATCATCGTCGACTTCCATCTAGTTTTTCCGTAGGCCAATCAGGGGAACAGGAATTGGGGGCAATATGATGAACGGTTTCTACAAAAAAAAAAACGAAATCGCGCCACCCACCACCTTCGAAGCTACAAGTGATACATCAGCCTACATTAGCATGGAGACCGGCGAGACCGGCCCACCCCCACCATCGGCGTCCGCGGCGACGAGCGTCCCGATTGGGACAAAGGAGACGCAAGTCCCTATCGCCGCCGCGACCTACGCCACCGCCGCGATTCAAAAGACCAAGCAGACTCCCGAGCAGCAGACCCAACAACAACACCGTGCCAAGGCTTTGACCCAAATGTTCGAAGTCATGGGTGCTGTACCGGGCAATCGCACCGACCGGTGGTTGCAAGCCACCTTCGCCACCGACGAGTACCCTGTCGCTACCGCTACATCGCTCAAGTATTCGGCTCTCAACGCCAATCGATCCATTCGAAACATCTTCGACTTTGCTCTCGACGTCACTTTGACCGTCCAAGGCGCCTCGAAGGCCTCTCCCGCGGACAAGGCCGATCTGCTCGGTTGCGTCACGAGACTGCTCTCCCCGCAATCGCCCCTGTGCTTCGACGCCGAGGTCACCCTTCCCGAGCACCTTGCGGCGTTTGCGCCCCAGATTAGGGGTATCCAACACTCGTCTTTCGTCAGGGCCGGTGTGGTCAACCACCGTATCTCCGTGGGATTCGTTTCGGCGAAGGCACGTGACTCGGCGCTTACGGCCCCACTGGCGCTTACTTGGCACTCTGCAAAGGCTCACTTCGCAAAGGCCCACCACTTCTACCACAACATGGTCGAGCTGCGTATCAACGTCGGTGTCGCAGCGGTCCCATCCAGGGATGCCATTGTTGACTCTTTTAAATCAATTGTCACCAAAATCACAGCCAAGGGACACCGTTGCGAGCTGGTACAAGTCTTGCGCGTGATCCACGTCGATAACGACTCGGCCTATGCGCACTTGGCCGGCGAGTTTTCGGCCTTTATCCGCTTCGACGACGACGCCCTTTTCAAAGCCCCTAACAACACGCTGAAGGAGCTCCTACCGTCGAAGGTCTCTCTAGCCACTAGAGGCAACATGCATACGGCGGTTCGTCACGACTACGAACGAGAAGCGGCCTGTGCTCGGTGCCACTTTGTGGGGCATGTGGAGACCTGCGCGCTGGAACAGGAGAGGAGGCAGAAGGAAGCGAACAACAACACCGGAAGGCACAACAAGTACCACAACAACCCAACCAACACCAACAACAACAACAACGACACCACCAACACCAACAACACCGACAACGACGCTTCCGAGGTTGTGGCCCCTAGCCGCGCCCTCGGAACCGACCAACTCGAATCGCGGAACCGATTTGCGGGGCTCGAGGTCGAAGGAGGACAGGAGGATGACGTCGAGGAGGAGGATGCAGGAAAGGAGGGCGAGGAAAAGGAGCAGGTCGAAGAAGGAGACGAGGATACGGGCGCCAAGGCGGACGACGAGGATTCGGACTCGGATGGGAACGCCGGAGCGGGCATCGACAAGGCGGGAGGCGACGACAACGACAAGGACGACGACAGGACGAACAGGACGACAGCTCGGAGGGAAGCGAACAAAGGGAGGACGAAGGAAACGATGGGGATGACGTGATGAAAGATGGAGCAGAGGAGGAGGACGAAGGGACGGAGACGGAGGTGGAAGAAGAGGTCGAGCAGGAACAGGGGGTACAGGACGACAGCATCATGATCATCGACGACGACCAAACGACGATCACCACGGTTTCCCGCGAGTCGACTCCTCGGAGTCCCTCGTGGCCTCCACTATCTCCTGAGACGTTGGCAAAGTCGCTGCGCGAGGGTGCGGAGTGGGACCGAGCTAACGCCGAAGCTGCTGCACGTGTCCAAGCAGAAAAGGAGGCGATCATCAACGCCCAACTCGACGCGGAGGAACCGCTCGTTCGCCACCAATTTGCAGAGTGGGGTCAGGAAGATGGACAACTGCGATTCATCAACATTCGTGGCACCGGCTCCGGGTCGAACAAGAAGATGAAGAGGTCGCAAACGGTGGCCGATCTCAGCGATCCGAGCGACGACCCGGTCGATATCAAGCGCGTTCTGAACAGGGTCAAAGGTCGAGCAGGAAAGGAGGTAGCGGGTCAGGGGAAGAGGGTGACGAGGTCGATGTCGGCGGCGGCGGCGATGCAGGTCGAGGGGGCCAAGGCGAAAGCGGAGAAGGGTAAAGGGGTGGAGGAGGAGAAGCGCTGGTCCGACCACGAGCCCGAGGATGACATTCTCCCCGAATTCCCACTCTTTGAGGACGACACTACCGCCAAGAGCACGTCTACATCGTCTATCCAATAATGATCAAGCACACCATCACCAGCTGGAACGTGAGGAGGTGCATGGGGATCCCGGAAAAGCGACGCAACATTTACACCTATTTATCAACATTCAAAGCATCCGCCATTCTACTACAAGAACACTTCATCAAACCGGAACTCTGGCAATGTATCAAGGACGAGTACGAGGGCAAGGTCTTCATCAGCAAACACTGTCTGACTCTGATCCCCGCCGACTCGCCCCTGATCGACGCCGAGATTTTGCGCACCCACTCGGCACTCGACGGACGAATCCTGGTCACCTCCTTTCGACTTCGAGGCGACATCCGGATACTCGAGATCAACAACATTTACGCACCAGTCGATACAAAACAACGACTCACATTCTTTGACAAACTACATTTCCACAGGACGCAGAGCACCCACCTTCGACTCCTCGGCGGCGATCTCAACGACTGCCCGCTGCCGGCGATCGATCGGCGGAACCAAGGTCGGCACGGCCATCACTGGCCGATCCTGATCGGCAAGCTCGACTCGCCCTACACCGACTGCATACGATTCAAACACCCGCTCACACCATCTTTCACTCGACCCAACATCGTCCGCAAGCGACCAAAGTCCTTTTCACGACTTGACTACTTCCTTCTGCAGCGCACCCACCAAAAGCGACTCGTCCAAGCCTCGACGATCTACGACCACCCCAAGGACCTTTCGGATCACCGACCGGTCTCGATCGTCCTAGTTCTCTCGGATGAGCGAGGAGACGCGGCTCAACCCAACAACAGTTTACCAACGACATCAAACCAATTACATCGTATCAACGCGGCGACCTTCAAGACGGCGGAGTTCCAGGGGATGTTGGAAGGATGGTTGGAAGGAGCGAGTGGGGAGGAACCGGTGGGGGAGCTCGAGGTGGTGCTGGGGAACTGCGCGAAGGAGGGTCGGGAGCTGGCGAGGAGGGAGCATCGGGAGCGGGTGGAGCGGATGGCGGTCTTGGTGGGAAGGGTGCAGGATCTGGAGGCGTTGCCGGTGATGGGGGACGAGGAGACGGCCGAATGGACGCGGACGACGGAGGAACTTAGGCGAGCGGTCAACGAGCGCGCGCGCCAACTTCGGATCCGAGCCCACGTACCCGAAATCGCTACCGAGGAACGACTGTCGCGGCCGGTCCACGCCAAGCTCGCGGCACGGAGTTCGGATTCCAAGATCACAGCACTGCGATTGCCCAACGGAGAGCTGACACATGACATTGACGTCGCGCTTGACCACACACAGGCGCACTTTCAGCGCCTCTACGATCTCGAGCCGCGCGATCGGGACCACGTCGAGCGACTTAGGGACGATTTCTTGGCGCCGATCAGGTCGGCGCGCACTTGCGATGACCCGAGCTCGGACCCGCTCTTTCTGCGACGACTCTCGGAAGCGCACATCGAGCTGCTGCAGCAACCCATCACCGAGGACGAGGTCGTAGCCGCAATCGCAACAACACACCCCGGTCGATCGCCGGGTCCATCTGGCGTGCCCTACGAGCTCTATCACACAGCGCCGCGGGCGTGGGCCAAGGCGCTGAGCAGGGCCTTCAACGCGATGACCGAGCGCGGCTCGCTTTCACCGAAGCAGGGGCAAGGACTCGCTCGCCTGCTCTTCAAGCACCACAAGATCGGGGCCGATCGCGCCGAGCTCTCGTCGTACCGGCCCATCACCTTGCGCGAGTGCGACTACAAGCTCTTCACCAAGGTCTACGTTGCGCGACTCAACCACGTGCTGCCGGACCTGCTCCCACCGCAACAGCACGGCTTCGTCAAGGGCCGCCGATCGGCGGACGCGTCATTCCACCTGCGACTCTTGATCGAGAGCTGGGCGCGCGCGGCACCGAGTTCCCTGACGCGGCGCTCTTGTCTCTTGACCAATCGTCGGCTTACGACCTCGTCGAGCACGAATGGATCTTCGCCATCTTCGACGCTCTCGGCGCTCCTGCCGCCTTCCAACGCGTTCTGAGGATGCTCTACTCGGGTGACTCAACCACGGCGCGATATATCATCAACGGCTTCTTGACTCCGCCGGTGCGGCTGACGTGTGGGCTCGGCCAAGGGGACCCGGCGTCGTCGTCGGTCTGGGATGTCGTGTTCCAGCCGTTCCTGGATGCTCTGCACCGTCGAGGCATCGCGCTGAACCTCTCGCTTCCTACCATTCACCCCTACCCACAGAGCCGCGCCATTACATCCCTTGCGTTTGCCGATGACGTCGTCGTCGCCGTCGCGGGCTCGGAGTCACTCAACTTGCTCGACGACCTGGCGCTCGACTGGAGGCTCGCAACCAATGGCCGGCTCAACACCGACAAGACCGTCGTACTACCCATCGGGTGTCGCTGGGAGGCTGGCGATCGTCCGCTCGTCGTCAAGGCCGAGGGCGAGTCGCTCGAGTGGATCGGCCTATCTTTCGACCCCACCGGCAACACCGAACTCGCCAACGTGAATCTCGTCGCACGGCTCGAAGCGGTGCTCGATTCGGCACGGGACCGAGGGCTCACACACCACACCCGAGCGTTCTACGTCAACCGATACGCCATTCCCAAGATTCTGCACATCCTCTCCGCCGACATCCCACCGCTCGAGGTCGTCAAGGAGCTTGATCGCATTCTCGCCGACTTTGTCCGCGGCGGCAAGAGGAGGTCGTGCTATGGCAAGGACGTCGTCTTCACACCGAGGTTCAAGGGGGGTCTTGGGGTCATGCGGATGCAGGACGTCGTCGACTCGGTTGCGGCACGCGTCTGGGACGTGCTTCTTGGCGTTCGGATGCGATCTGGCAGGGACTTGCGCGCGCCGGCGATTGTACGAGCCCATCCCGCCCCGACTTTGACTTGGCAACCGATGCGTGGCCTTGCGACTACACTCCGATCCGAACCGATCTACACCCAAGATGGCAGGCCGTGCTGAAGGTACCATCGACGCACAATGCGCAAGTCAAGCCGAGGACGTTGACGCTCGCGAACCTTCTCGCTCTTCCGATCAAGTTGCACACCCTTCACTACCTTACGGGAGCACGCTGTTGTCGCGACACCCTACGACGCGACTATGCTGCGTTTGCCATTTTACGCCAAGGTAGCGGACCTGTTTCGACGCGAGCTGTACCGGGCGGGGGCTTTCATCTCTGGACGCCGCCGACGGATGTGGTCGTCAGCAACAGCGATACGATCAACGGGGGCCGCCCACAACGAGAGCACATCGTGGCATGGTACCGGACATGCGATCATCGATTGAGGTTCACACCAATAGCTCAACCGGTGGCGGCAGTACGAATCAACGGGCCTCCCCGAGTCCGCCCCACCACGCCGCTCGAGTCGATCCTGCCCCATCCGATCGACCCGCCGCAGCGCCTTCCGAGACGGCTCTCCAGACCAATCAACACAATACAACTTGCTCAGCATGGATCGGCCATACACCATCCGTCGCGTCGCCGAGTCTTGAATGCAAAGGCCTTCACCGACACGATCGGTTTCAGGGACTCGCTGCAGCCCGACGATCTCAAGGGATTCTGGAAGGGGGTCAACTCGAAGCATTGACGGCGAGGGAACGCGAGGTGTGGTTCAAGCTCGTCAGGAACTTCACCCGACTCGGAGTCTGCAGTTTCATCAAAAGCACGACGACTCGCCCGCGTGCCTCGTCTGTGGAGCGCCCAAGGACGATCGGGAGCACTACTTCTTCGACTGCGTTGACTCTAGGAACGTTTGGATCGCGGCAAGGGGCGTGCTCTGCGACGCACTGGGGCTCGACACCGATCGACAACACGCATTACACGGCCGTTCAACGCATGTTCGGACTTCCGAAGCTCAAGGCCAGTCTGCGCGATCAAGAAGGAGCGGGAGGACGATCGAAATATTCACCGGGCTGGTCTTGGAGATGATCAGCAGCGGGAGGTGGGGGATGCAGAAGTGGGGACGAGGATGGAGGGTGTGGGAGGAGGAGGATAATCTTGGAGGAGAGGTTGAAGCTGAGGGCGGGAGGAGCTTGGGGGAGGAGAAGGCAGTAGAGGCTGGGTTCGACTTTCCCCCACCACCACACACCACCCAAATTCTCGTGACATCATTTTCTCCTACTGTACACTAAATAGCTCGCTTTCCTCTTTCTTTTGTTACAGGTTCACCGTTGCGGATCATGGACCATCTCGCGATTTGGGCGTCGACTCGGTGTGGCTCGCGCTCTTCGGCTTCGGGGTTCTGAGTCAAGGGAGGGATCAGCGGACACAGGCAGAAAGTCGGCTTTGAGGGCCAGGGACTGCCGAGGGGGAGGTTTTGAGGGACCTTCACCGCGTCTTGTTGTGACTGAGCAGAGACTTGGAGCGTCGAGGGTCGTGGTGGTTGCGCAGTCGTGCTCTTGTCTTCGTCTCGACCGAGTGGGAAGTGGCTGTGGGGTGGGCCTTCTGTCGTTAGTACATTTCTTTTCTTCTCTTTCTCTTTCTCTTTCTCTTTCTCTTTCTCTTCATCTCTCTTTCTCTTCTCATTCGTCTCCTGGGGGGGAGCAACCGCTTGGCTAGGGCATTTGAATCCGAATCTCGGATTGGTGGACTTGGCTCGTTTCTCGCACTTTTGCGGGCGGTTTTGTGTTATCATCGTAGTCTTCCATCTAGTTTTTCCGTAGGCCGAAACAGGGGGAACAGGAATTGGGGGCAATATGATGAACGTTTTCTACAAAAAAAAAAAATCACTTCACTTCACTTCACTTCACTTCGAAATTGCCCTACTGCAGCCTTCGATACTCGAGTTAACAAGTGATACACGACAAGATGTCTACCGGAGACCCTGGGTCCCCACTGCCGGCACCGCCACCACCGGTATCCGCCACCAGCGTCCAGCCCCCCGCGACCGGATCCCGATAAGCTCGAAGACGCAAGTCACGGGCCCCGCCACCGCCGCACCCAACTATGCTGCCGCTGCGAGTCAGATGGCGGCTCAAACACCTGAACAACAGCAACAACAACAACAGCGTGCCAAGGCTCTGGGCAGCCTCCTACAAGCCATGGGTGCTGTACCCGGAAACCGTATTGGATCGCTGGGTCCAGGCCATCTACTTCGCCGAACTCTACCCCGTCGCCACGCCACATCGCTGAAATTTTTCGGCCTTGACGCGAAACCGGTCCGTCGAGAACATCTTCGATTACGCCCTTGAAGTGACTCTGTCTCACCAGAGCGCCTCGCGAGCGACTCATGCCGACAAGATCGATCTCGTGGCCTGCGTCACGAGGCTGCTATCGCCCATCTCTCCTATCTGCTTTGAGCCTGGAGTTCCTCTGCCGGACCATCTTGCGGCTTATCAACCACAGATCTTAGGCGTACAACATTCATCAATCCTGCGTAATGGGGCGGCTCACCATCGCGTTACGGTTGGGTTCGTCACCGGCGAGGCACGTGACGCGGCGCTCACGACGCCCCCCGCTCTCACTTGGCGATCGGCGAAGGCCCGCTTCGCGAAGTCTCACAGGTTCCACCATAACATGGTCGAGCTTCGAATCAACGTCGGTGTTCAAGGAGTGCCCTCCATGGATGCCATCATCAAATCGTTCCAATCACTTGTGCAAGACCTGTCAGCCAAGGGACATTCATGCCAACTTGTGCAGGTTCTGCGCGTTATCAGCGTGGACAACGCCTCGGCCTTCGCCCACGTTGCCGGAGACTACTCGGCTTTCCTACACTTCGATGACGACTCCCTATTCCAACGCCCCAACACGACCTTGAAGGAGATTCTACCTTCGAGGATCGACCTTCCCACTCGAGGCATCCCGGTTACCGCCCTTCGCCATGACTATGAGAAGGAGGCGGCTTGCGGTAGGTGCCACTTTGTGGGTCACGTGGGAACCTGCGGACTGGATCAGGAGAGGAAGCGGAAGGAGGCTCACAACGGCATCATCAACAGCAACAAAAACACCATCACCCACAACACCAACATCGCGGAGGCCGAGGCCCCCATTCCTGTGCTGGTTGTTAACAGGATCGCATCACAGAATCACTTCGCCGGGCTCGAGGTCGAGGAGGGACAGGAGGAAGAGGTAACTGGCCAGGGCGAACAGGGACCGGAGGAATCGGGGGAGGAAGACGCTGGTGATAAGGCGGATGACGAGGACTCGGAGGACTCGGAGATGGAATCGGAGGCGGCCGCGAAAACGGAGGTCATCAAAATTGAAAGCGAGGACGAGTCGGTCTTGGAGGACTGCAGCGGATCCGATGGAGAGGTGATTGATGAGAATGAGGTGATGGCGGATGAAAGAGGTGAAACGGAAGGAGAGGTGGCTACGGAGATGGAGGAAGAGGAGGTGGCGACGGAGGTGGGCGATGTGGACGAAGCGAGGGGATCGACGAAAGCGGAGAATGCGGAAGCGACGGACTTAGGGGAAACGAACAGGCTGGACAATGACGACGACAGCGACGCCACAGCAACCGCCGCCACCGCTTCCCGCGAATCGACGCCGCATGAACCAACCCCACCTCTGTCACCCGAAACTCTCGCCAAGTCGCTACGCGAGGGGAGGAGTGGGACAGGATCAGAGCTAACTGGGTTGAGCAGGCACGACTTGAGCGGGACCAAAGCATCGAGAGGAGGCTCAACGCTGAAACCCCTTGGTGCGTCACAACTTTGCCACGTGGGACGAGGACGGTGAGATACGCTCCATCAACATCAGGGGGACCGCTGCGAAGTTCAAGAAGCAGGTGATGAAGAGGTCGCAGACTGCGGCGGACCTCAGTGACCCAAGTGACGAACCGACCGACGCCAAGCGAGTCATCATCAAAGGGAAGAGCCGCGTCGTGGTGAAGGATGGAATAGAGGGGCGGAGGGTGACGAGGTCGATGTCGGCGGCAGCGGCGATGCAGGTCGAGGTGACGAAGGTGGACAGAGGGAAAGGAAGAGGGGTAGCTGAGGAAAAACGATGGTCCGACCACGAGCCCGAGGACGATGTCCTGCCCGCCCTTCCCCTCTTTGAGGACGTCACCACCGCCAAGAGCGCCTCGACCTCGACTACCCATTAATGATCAAGCACACCATCATCACCTGGAACGTAAGAAGGGGCATGGGGGTCCCGGAAAAACGACGTAATATCTACACCTACCTTTCCACATTCAAAGCTTCCGCGATTCTCTTACAAGAGCATTTCATCAGACCACAATTCTGGCAGCTCATCAAGGACGAGTACGAGGGCAAGCTCTTCATCAACCAGCACTGCCTGACCCTGATCCCGGCCGACTCGCCCCTGATCGACGCCGAGCTCTTGCGCACCCACTCGGCACTCGACGGCCGGCTCCTCGTCACCTCCTTTCGTCTGCGGGGACATCAAAATTCTAGAAATCAATAACCTCTACGCGCCCGTTGACCCAAAACAACGAGCAAAATTCTTCGACAAACTGATCCTCCACAAAACACAGAAATCCCACCTCCGACTCCTTGGCGGCGATCTCAACGACTGCCCGCGCCCAGAAGTCGATCGGCGGAACCAAAGTCGGCGCGGCCACCACTGGCCGATTCTGATGGGCAAGCTCGACTCGGCCTACACGGACTGCATCCGCTACAAGCACCCCATCACCCCATCTTTCACTCGACCTAATCCCAATCGCAAGCGACCCAACTCCTTCTCCCGGCTTGACTACTTTCTCCTACAAAGAGCTCACCAAAAAAGGCTCGACCAGGCCTCGACGATCTACGACTATCCCAAGGATCTTTCCGATCACCGACCGGTCTTGATCGTACTGGCTCTCTCAGACGATCTTGATGCGGCTCTCCCACAGCTCAGCCTACCTACCACATCCAACCAACTACATCGAATCAATACCACAACCTTCAAGACGGTGGAATTTCAGCGGATGATGGAAGGATGGTTGGAAGGGGCAAGCGGGGAGGATCCGGTGCGAGAGCTTGAGGAGGTTCTGGAGGCGTGCAGGGACAGGGGTGGGAGATGGCGAGGAGGCTGCATCGGGAGCGGACGGAACGGATGGAGTATTTGGTGGGAGGGTGCAGGATCTGGAGGCGTTACCGGTATGGGGGAGGCGGAAACGGCAGAATGGACAAGGACGTCCGAGGAACTCAAGCGGGCGTCGAGGAGCGCGCGCGCCTACTCCGGATCCGAGCCCACGTCCCCGAGATCGCTTCCGAGGAACGACTGTCGCGGCCGGTCCACGCCAAGCTCGCGGCGCGGAACTCGGACTCCAAGATCACAGCACTGCGCTTGGGCAACGGAGAGCTAACGCATGACATTGATGTCGCTCTTGACCACACGCAGGCGCATTTCCAGCGCCTCTACCACATCGAGCCTCGTGATCCGGAACGCGTCGACCGACTTCGGGACGAACTCCTCGTGCCGATCAGGGCGGCACGGACTTGCGACGACCCGCGCTCAGATCCGCTCTTTCTGCGCCGACTCTCGGAAGCGCAGATTGATCTCCTCCAGCAACCCATCACCGAGGACGAGGTCGT